TCATTCCAGACCTCACGGGGTTCCTGCCGCTGGCTGTGACCAAAACCCATCCCTTTAGGCTCTTTATTCTTTCACTCTGCTGGTCACACTTGTTGCTCCAATAAGATTCCCCACACAGCACTCCTGCCAACACCAACACCACGTAGTCACTTCTTTCTCACATTCTCCCTCCTTTGGTCGTCATCTAGCTTAGCTCACCTCTCTAGTTAATACACAGCTCTGCCACGTCCCGGTGTCCTCGTTCTGGCCTCTGTAGTGCCCTTCCCTACGCACGCCTTAATCAGTCCTCACGGGACAAGCCTGGCCTGTGAAAACAGTGTTAATGTAGATCTTCAGGGCACCCTTCTCTGACTCCCTTCTGGCACTGGCCTGCCTTTGTTCCCGAAGCTCTCATCCTTCTGTGATGGCAGGGGACTCTGGATTGTTCTCTTGGAACAATCCCACACGGAAGGGACCCCTCCTGCCCCTTCCTCTCATCCCCCCGTGTCAGCCATCCTTTCTGGCGATACTGATAGAGCGCTACAGTGGTTCTCCTGCAGTTCACCTTCGGTTCCCTGAAACTTCCCACTGTATCAGCCACACCCTATCCTTAAAAACTTGGCACTAAAGAACATAATCTCTCCTAATACCATTCCTACTTGCTTCCTTATTCAGTCTCTGTACCACTTACTTAGATATAAGCATCTTTTGTCTTTACTTGCACAGAAACTCGGCCATTGTTCCTGCTTGACTCCTTGTTCCTCTTCCTTGGCTACAGGTGCCCTCCCTGTTGAACAGATCCCAGCAGGGGTTCCTGTAACCTTGTATTACTAACGTCTGTCCTGCCTCCCCTCCTTACTTATGACCTTTGTCCCGACCATAATCCGTGTCTCTCCCTTCATTGTCTTAAATACCTCAGCTGACCCATTCCAGGTCTGTGTTAACTTCCACTTTTTTCTTGACCTTCATCCCTCTTCCCCTCCACAGAAAACCCTAGCTGAATTTAACCATGAACATACTTCTGTCAACACCTCCTACATTAAAACAGATTCTGTAGTCTGGAAAGGTCACTCTCTCTGTGGGTCAGCCCACTATCACCCGTTTCAACATGCTCCATTAAGTTCATTTGTTCTCTGAACTCGGACCCCTCCTTCACAGGACTCCCACCAGAGACCCTCATTCTCTCTTAACACCTTGGCCTCTGGTGGACTGCCTCAGCTCCCCAAAGCCTGCTGGGGAAGATGGAGTCTCCTTCATTTGAAATACAAAGTATTTTAAATTTGTTCCTGAACGAAAACCCATTTGCATATCTCCTACTATTTCCAACTACCCGTGGCCTTTCTGGCCTCTTTCCTTTAGTTCACGCACCTTCCTCCGCACACCGAAGCATGCTCACATCTTTGGAGATCCAATTAAACTGTTACATCCTTTCAAATGTTTAATGATGTTCCCAGGCTGTTAATCCTACACTCCCACACAGGCTATTAAAAGTCATATTAAAGAGCCTATGGCACTGAGTTGTGATGTCATAGGTACATAAGTGGATCTCTTTTTCACACACACATGCACACACACACACACACACACACACACACAATTTAACTCCTAGACAGCTATTGGAGAGAAATGTCACGTCTCAGTCATCTTTGTAGCTAAGCTAGTGTCTAGCACCATAGTTTATATCTTTACACATAATGTTAACGTGTACTGACATTTACTACACATTTGGAGGGAGTTTAAATAAAAACTGAGCAGGTGAAAGGTCTCACTACCCATATGGTCATAATGGCCTTTGCATCTGAGTCTCTTCTTTCCTGTCCTTGCCTGTGCCCCAAATAATTTTTGAAGTCCCCAGTTTCTAATATTTGCGTACCTGTGAGCCTCTTCCAGACCATGGGTTAGACCCTTACTTCACCCACAGTTAATAAATCCCCTCCTGGAGAAAGCTCTGAAATCCCTATCTTCATGAAGTTCACTTTCCAAAACTGTGCCCCTACCTCCATTTGCTATTACTTCCAAGCAGTCATCTCAAAACATGGGACTGCCCGCTCTGCTGTTCCATGAACGGCGCTGACCTGGCCGTACTAGCACCTCCTTGCTGCCATACTCCCTGTCGGCTGAAAGTCAGCATAAGGTGAATTCATCCTGGTGCTCTGAGGACCACTGTGGGTCCCCAGTCTACAGGCAGTATTGCCTTTTGAAATTTAGACTCTGTTGTGCTTAGTGTTAATTTAATGATCTCTGTGCTTTTTACCACCCATTTTTTGCTTTTTTAGCATCTAAGGTAGCGGTTCTTACATTTTTTCCACATGTAGCCCCCTTTGATGGGCATGGCTGGAAACCACCCCCCCAGAGTTTCTCCCCTGCTGCTTTCTTTGCACCAGTACAAAACAGAGTTGTGCCGATGTCCTTCCTCTCTTCTGTACAGTTCTGACCCACTGTGGGGCATGCATTTAAAATAAGCCTTTGTGAGACTGCCTTTTGACCAGCCTACAGGCTGCTTCTGAGAACTACTACCCTAGACAACAGAGTGTCGTACGCTGCATTTGATAATTCAGAGCACAGTGTGGTGAGCAGTGCTCCCCAAGTCACTGGCGGGAACTCGGGCTTGCGCTGTGCACTGACAAGGCCGGCCTCCTCTTCCCCCTCCAGCTGCAGGCACCTTTAGCTGCACCATGAAGTTCACAGTCCGGGACTGCGACCCTGACACTGGGACTCCGGCTGAGGAGGGGTATGAAGATGAGTACGTGGTGAGTCTCCCCTGTGCGGGGACCCCACGACACACCTGCACCGCTGTCCTCTGCCTGAAAAGAGCATTTTTCTGGGAACACCTGGCACAAACTTCAGGGGTTTTAGTTTCAGTCTTCTCAGGTCACAGCTGAGGAGAGCCAGGACTGACCCTCCTCTGTAATGGGAGTGTGCGGTGCCTACGAGAACTGAGACTCACCACTTCCTGACCAAAATAAAACTCACCCTTTCTTATGTCTTTATAATAGGGGCAGTTACAAGATGAAAATAAGTACATGATTTTCATTGAGGTCAACAAGTTTTATTTAAAATATCGGGGTGATGGTTTTGATCAGCAGCTTTTAGTTAGTTGGCTTATAGTGTGGAGCTACATCATGAACTGAAAAGTCTCCATAGAACGCAAAGGAAATTTTAAGAAGTATCGACCTTTTAGTGAATGCTAAGTTCAGAAGGCCCTGTATGGCCTGAACTTCGTGCTTAGGTGTGGCAACGCCCCGGGGTGTAGGCGTTGATCTGAATGTGGCTCCTGCCCTATTTCTTGCTTTCCTTTGCTAAGGCCTGCATCATTAGAGCTAGTGATACTACAGGACGTCCCCCTAGTTTGGTAACTGAGCTTTTCCCAGGCTGCACGGGATGTAATACAGAATGATAAAGCCCTACAAATCAGCCCCTTCCATCTCTGTTCTGTACTGAAGGACTTCAGTTTACTGACCTCTGCTTGTATCCGCTAGCTGGAAGACCTTGAAGTGAATCTGTCTGACCACATTCAGAAGGTTCTGAAGCCTAACTTTGCTGCTGCCTGGGAAGAAGTGGGAGATACTTATGAGAAAGAGGAGACTTTTGCCCTCAGTTCTACCAAAACTCTTGAAGGTGAGGACAATTATCAATGTATTGCCTGATAGCACTATAAAAACCTAGTGGGAATACTTATTATTCCAGAGAACACTTCTCTTTAAATACCGCATAAACTAATTCACTTAAAAGGCCAGGACCCTGTCACCCTCACTCGTAACTATCACCCATAACTGAGTCCTTCAGTTCCTAGTCCAGCAGCTTTCGCCCACATGCTGCCCCGCTACCGCAGCCCCTACCAGTGCAGGGGCCGCTGGCCTTGTCTCATCCTGTTGCGTCACTGTTGCCAACACAGAAGCTGTCAACAACATCATCACGTTCCTGGGCATGCAGCCATGTGAGAGGTCAGACAAAGTACCTGAGAACAAGAACTCCCACTCGCTCTATCTGGCAGGTAAGAACCTGCCATTGGGTTTCCCCTTTATTTCGCTGCAGAATCTGATAGGAAGGGATATACGCAGGTATCTCGTGCCCTGCTATTGTCCCTCTGTATGAGCTACAATTTGAAGCCCTGTCGAAAGCAGTAATTTGTTTTAGCTGTTTGCTTAATTGGCATGCTGTCTTAACATTGTTCTCTTCAGCTATATATTCAGCCTAACACATTTACTTAAATCTGTCCCACGAATACCAGTGCCGCCACCTCCCCCACTTCGAGTCAGTACTCCTGAATGCCTTCTATGTACCTGGTATCATGGGAATATAAAAGATTACTTCAGATTTCTACATGGGACTCAATTCCCACCGTAAACCCCAATCTGTAGCTAAACTAAAATAATAGAAAGGAAGTACAGGCAGAGCACGATGAAGTTCACTAGTCACAGCTTGTTTTGAGTTCTTACTATGGTTTTCCTCACTCTTTTCTCCAAGGTGTATACAGAGGTGGCTATGATTTACTGGTAAGGTCCAGGCTGGCCTTAGCAGACGGAGTGACCATGCAGGTGACTGTCAGAAGCACAGAGGAAACACCTGTAGATGTTATCCTGGCTTCTGTTGGATAAGTTTTTACTGGGCAAGATGACGTTGATGCGCTCCGCCGTCAGCGGGCTTTTGGGCTGGTGGCATGCATTTCCCAGAATCATACTTTCAAAGATTATGATTTTGGAGAAGCAAATTAAATGTGTGGCCCTGAGCCAGCAGACCAAGCCAGCGTCTGTCCTCGTGCATGTCTTTGTCCTGTTTCCCTTTTATTATGCTGGTCAGCCCTGGTGTGACAGTGTGTCTCTGGGTGAACTGAAGAGGCAGATACTGCCCTGTGTCCCAGCTGCTTAATTTCATTATATTCTTTAATTTAATGTGTCTGAAAGCTCCTGGCAATGTTGGAAAGCTTCTGTCCCAGAGGGGTGGGGGGGGAGGGGAAGGCAGAGTCCGCTTTTGTCAAAATTCATTTTTATTAATAGAAAATAAACACTTATTCCACTTTCAGTTGTTATACTTGAAGTTGCTAATTTTAAAAAGAAGAATTTAAAATAATCACTTAATAATACTGTTTGGACCTAAACAATGAAAACTGTGGCTTTAAAAAGAAAAAAGGATTCAGCACCATTTGTTCATAGGCCTTTCAGAATTGCTCTCAAAGTTTCTGGAACTTTCCTGTCTGTAAAGTACAGGAATTGAGGAGCTACGTGAGGCGGCCTCTCTGGGACAACCAGGGAGGAGCTGGGCGATCAGAAATCAGTGTCCACTCAGCACGGTCACTTGGACTGTGCGACGCTCCCTTCCCCTCCACGCTAGTGCAGGAGGGACACGCTTCAAAGCACTGAGGTATGAGAGTCAGACTGTTATTTGCTGTTAAAATTGGCTAACAACAGTAAACCTCTGGCATAGATGCTGTTGGTCTTTAATGTCCTGTGATTTTTAAGAAATTTTGTAAATAGTTTGGATTGAGTTCTACTTATTCAGCTGTTGGTCTTTAATGTCCTGTGATTTTTAAGAAATTTTGTAAATAGTCTGGATTGAGTTCAACTTATTCAGAAGTTAACTGTGTTTAAAAAGGGTCACTATTCTGCCAGAGTAAGTGTCTGCTGGTTTAGTACCCTCCTAAAATATACATAATACATGTAAGTAAATCATAGTTTCAAAGTACACTTAGAATACTGCATCATTTAAACAAAAGTCTTAGAATACTGCATTATTTAAACAATAATCTATCTTAACACAATGTCTATAATTAGATGCAACTGATGAAACTAATTCAAAGTTAGGACAAGGGAGACTCAGCTCCCTGGAAGCTGTGCTGCTCAGGAAACGTAGGAAAGCGAGGGCCCTTAAAGCCGCCCAGGGAGAGGTGGGCAGGCGCTGCCTCCTTGTCCTTTACTGTTACTGTAAGACTCACACTGGACCTTGGCCAGACACTGGCACTCCTAAATGCTTCAGCCAAGTCCACAGAAATGCCAAGACTTTTGTGCAAAAGACTGTCTGTCTGTCTGCAACCGTGAGTAGGAGTGCTCAATGGAATTTCCTAACCACGCACAGGCAAGTCCATACATTGATCGGATGTCAGAGGAACGGGAGGTGGACTGTTTGCTCGGTCGGAGCGTCTACTGGCTTTTCACTGTGTGCTGTTCACCAGTGTGCGTCAGGTGGACCTTTGTGAGAGAAGAGTGTTTGGTGGCCAGGACCTCTTTTGGGCATTTCTTTCTAAGTGGAATACACAGCAGGTAAGGGAACGGGGGAGATAATACAGGGAAGCTACTCTCTCCAGCTCAGAAGGAGTTGATGAAGCCCATATATGCATTCAAGAAGCCCATGGGATCCTCTAGCTGTGGGTAGTGGCTAATGTGGTCATCCAGAATCGACACTGTGGACCGCGGCAGCGTTTTCCTAGTGGAAGAGAACAGCATGGAGGTGAACTTGAGGCTGCAGGGAGGGGGGGAGGTAAGCCAGTGGGCAGTCCCAGTGAGTGCCCCTGTGGATATACCACACTGGAGGGACCAGCAAGAGCTTATTCAGCTTCTCCTTTGGAATTGTACCTTGGGCAGATGAGCTTGCCAGCCCCATGTATGACATATACACACTGGGTTTGAAATGTCCACAATCCAACAGACAACAACTTGAAACACATGTCAGAGTGGGGTGACTTCGAGCTCCTTAGAGAAGCATGAGGCATCAAACAAGCGGACCACTGTCCCAGTAAAGACAACAAAAGATCTTCCTTAACCCTGGGAGGTGATGAGCAAGGGTATCTTATGGAACATGAAATGCCAGCTATTTACTACTGGGCTGTTTCTACTAGGCCAGATGAAGGTGTGGAACAGTCTCGTGTGACAAAGTCAGTTAAGATTTCAATTTCCAACCTTCCGAGTAAACACCTAGAGACAGTAACCACCGATGAGGAGGCCCCTCCCACAGTGAGCTCTTCTCAGCTCTCCCTGCAGTTGCTCAGCTGTTCTCAGCTCTCCCTGCAGTTGCTCAGCTGAGGCTGAAGAGCTGGCTTTCCAGTCAACCAGAGCCAGCATGTCCTGTGACCTGAACGCACTCCCACTCCTCAGTTCACATGACAGTGTTTTCTTACCTGTGCACCTAGGAATGCGTAGTAACCGTGACAGTGAGAAACAGGTTATATGAATGGAGAGAATGTGTAACAATTTCCTGATCTTTACATTCATGTGAGAGTAAGTTTCCCCAGCTCATCCTTGACTGTGTGTTTCCTCACTGGATGAACAGCCAGTGAGGCCAGTGATAGTGGCGAGAGCCGAGGGAGACTCACCTGTACAGCTCCAAAAACTCCGGGTAGGGGTTCACCGGGTCCAGGGGCCCGTAGATGAAATGAACTAGGAAAGGGAAGAGGCACAAATTACTCACAGCTCTTACCTGCTCTACCCCCACGCTAAAATTACCCCTCCAAAAAAAAAATGTTTTCTTTAAAGAAACTGTTTTATGATAGAAAATTTAGCTTCTGTCAATAAGTAGGTTCTAAGAAACTTCTGAGAATAGGCTGAGAGCTGAGTCCATTTGGGCCATTTTCTTCTATAAACAGCCCTGCAGCTTTCTCTGTAAACCCAGGGTGCTGTCACTCTTGAAGTCTCTCTCTCCAGTAATAACTGGCCCTTCACACCTGAAGTCAACTATTTTCTCAGTACTAACTACAATATTATGTATGAGACATAGCACTGAATTTTTTTCCCGTTTCAATCTGTAAGAATGAAGAGACAAATGAGCAAAAACCACCTGTAGCCTCTTGACTACTGATCTAAACAGCCTCCCGCGTCCCAGAATTGGGCATTCACCATGGCCGCTGGCAGGGCCCAGCACGGAGAGCGGCTACCTGAGCAGTTTCACAGGGGTCTGTAGGCTTCACTCTGGGGCATGTCGCTGGCATGCCAGATGTGGGGAGGTTCGCCAGCTCCCAGGAAGGCTGACCAGTTCAATTTGAAAGGATTTTTTTCCTACCATCAGTATGCCCCGAATATTGCACAGCACATACTTTGCCCACCCCCCAAAAGTATGTTGTGTTTCTGAAATTCAAATTTAGCTTGCTGTCTTTGTTATATTTTTAGATGCTGAGTCCGGCGATTATTTTAACCCCAGAGTCCCTCAGTTTTTCTATCAAAATGTAGTATAGAAATACTCACTAGGAATAGTTACAGAGGCCAGAGCTCCCACCCAGCGTCTTCTGAACTTCTTCCTCTGATTGATGTACTGTAAGAGACTACACCGCACAGGTAAGTCAGCAGGAGTAGAACAGGAAACCTTTACTGTGAGAGGGATGCAAAGGCCTGACATGAGCTTCAAGGGAACACAATACGTTTTCTTAATCCAGAAGCAACTCAGCGCTCCTGGGATTAGCCCTCTGCATTCAGCCATCTCTGTTAACCCCCAGGTACCTACGGCAGTGATCGGCCTGCTGTCCACATAAAAATTAATGTTTCTCTGTGCCTGTGAAACAGGAAATGAGATCTAGGAAGGCTGCAAATTAGTTTGGGTTACGTGTAGCGAAAAGCCCAGGTTCGAATTGTGCCTCCCACAGTAATTAGCTCTGTAACTCAAAGGTCTAAACACATCGTTTGACCACCTTCTTCCTGTTTAAGAGGACTGAACTACATGATCTCTAACTTGACATCCACTTCTAAAATTCTAGCTGTAGAAGAGCACACGCACAAAGCTATAGTCTCTGCTCTTCGTCTGATCACAGATGAAGTGGAGAAGTTCTCCTCCCACAGCGCTAAGACGCCCCAGCCACGTTCTAGAACTCGAACTCACATAGTCTAGTTACTCTGCCTGGAAACTCCGGGAGTTACAGACCTCAACTGGCACCTCTTAGAAGTGGTGCTTGTGTTTTGGAAAAGTACGTGGGAATTTTAAAAGAGGGTTTGTTTTGTAATTTTTTACTTTAAAATGAATCTCTGGGATCCCGTGGGGGTTGGGGGAGGGGGGGATGGCCCTCTCTCCCTCCCAGTTTCCAGCAAAGCCATCCGTGACAGCAGTGGAGGCTCCAGGGACCCAGCTGGCAAAGGCCAGGGCCTCATCTCGAGTCCTTATGGATGTCACCATGTCTAGGTCCCTCTGTGAAAGCAGCATGTGAACCAACTGGCCGTGTCTTTCCTCTCGGAGCGTGGCTTTTTTTCGTGCGCCTTCACTGAGTCATAACCAACCTTCCCATGAGATGGCAGAGCCAGCCAGAACAGAGCAAGCAACCCCCCCATTCCCCGGCTTCCACAAACAGCCTGTCTGGAAACTGAAGCGAAGTTCTCTCACCTGTCGATAACCAAGTTCCCGTCATTGTTGCGTATCCCTGCCCACATGTCCCACAGCTCGCTCTCAGACGGCCGGGTGTACGGCCCGAAGACCGGGGTGAGGCTGAAAGAGTCCAAACCGCAGAGAGACATGTGAGAAGAACGCAGTGTCGAAGGTGACTGGAACCTCAGGTCACGCAGTGGGACCCTGAACTGATTCATGAACTCCTTCTACTCCTTCCCTGGCAAGTGGCCAACACCTTTGCTTTAAAATATCAAACCCTAGGATTTTGCGCAGAACTTTAACGGCAGCAGCCTTTCACTGCGCTGTTCCCGGGCAGGAGATCAGTCCCCGACAACGACTTACCCTCGAGAGAACACAAAGAAGTTCATCAGCCGTGTGAGGATGGGCGACAGCACACCTCCGTCTTTGAGCAGCTACAGGTAAATAAGTAAAAGTCAGGAATCCAGAGAGAAAGACACCCAGCCGCAAAAGAAGTTTTATGCCAAAAACTAAGAAAAACACTTTAGCCGAGTCTCCTACTGACAGGTTCGGTCACTGGCTTTTCTTTTTTTGTTTTGCCTACGCCTATGCGTCTCTGATGGACAGCATACCTACTTCTAATTCCTTTTAAGATTACATTGCTACACGTCACGAAATCCCTAAGATTTTTAGCTGGTATATTCAGCTTTAGACTAGGGTCCCTGCTTGTTCCAACATCAAGCTGATGGCACAAACCTTCTCGTAGCTGCATTTCTCCAAACATTTGTTGATCTCTCATTCTCAGAAAGTATTAGGCTTTAGGTGGGGGCCACTGCTGCTGCTTTATTTGCATAAAAAGGAAAAAACTAACTTCATTAATATAGACTGATGAGCAGGATTTTAACTACAGCCTTTTGCAGCAGAAACGACCCTTTGAAAGGTCCTGGCACTATTTCTGTCATTAGAAATCTTAAGAACTAATGATCTAGCCAGTAGAGTGGCCAACCTTTTGGAGAAGTAGAGGACGATGAGTCTCAGGAAATATACCTGTAGGAAAAGAAGAGACTAATGTTAGTCATTTTCTGACACCTTTACCGCAAATGTAGGCTGGTGACTGGAAACCATCCGCCCTACTCACTGTCACCTTTGGGTCCTTCGCTGCTAAAAAACAAATTGCAAATAAAAACTGAGTACTGTCATCTAATTCCTTCTCTGTGCAATTCTGTGTTTAACAGGTCAAATCATATCCCACTGGGATTACTTTCCAGATTGTACAGGTAGAGCAACAGGAAACACAATGTCTACGGGAACAGACAGTGCTGATTTTGAGGCAGCCAAAGAAACCAGAGATTTTTCAGGAAACGTAGGTCCAAAAACCACCCCTCCAAACCTAGATTTTTCCTGTGCCATTTTTTCCCAGACTTAACGGGAGAAAGCCATAAGCAACGCTTGTAAATGACACAGACTTCTCTCCCCATCGGCCCTTGTGTATTCAGGGGACCTTCAGAGGTTCCTGGATTTAGAAGTCAAGATCCACGGCAGGCTAAGAGAAAGAAACAGCTCCAAACGGTCTTGTAGTCAAGTGAACACTTGATTTCTAACTGAAACTTGGCGTGGCCATCAGTTAAGAGATCACAAAACCACAGCAGCACTAGAAGCACCTGTGGCTTCACCTTGGATTTTCACACCCACTGCAGTTGTTGTGGGGCATTTACACTCCTCACCGCTGTGCGGCTGCTCGTTGTTACGAGACCTGTGTAAAAAGCACAGTATTGTGCTTGTAACACAGCTTTTTATTAACCAAATTTCCTTCTAGTCAGTTTACTTTGTAATCCTTTTCTTTTTTTTCTTTTTTTTTTTTTAAGACTTAAAAACATCTTGAGAAAGGGTCAATATTACCTCATCAGACTACCTGAGCTATTCGGGGCACAACAAAGGTAAAGGTCCCCGGTTAACCGGTGTCCGTTCCCAGTGCCATCAGATTACCATGTAGATGTCACTGATACCTAAACGTGCCCATGTCACCTTCCACCCACCGCCAGGGCAATTACCTCCATTTGACAGACAGAGACTCTTTATGGTGAGCCGACCCGATCGATTCTGCTTGAACCTAAAAACAGGAGGCAAATGCGTCTGACTGAGTGGACCGGCACCAGGGCGGCGGCTGAAGACAAGCTTCCAAGAGGCAAAGGGCTACGAAGAACCCAGAACAGTTTACTTGTCCCGGCACTTGAAATGAGCAAGCCCTGGGACTAGTACACAGGTCCGTGGCCTCACTGACCTATAGAGAAGTTCCTGAGCGACGATGTCTCCATAATCGTGAGTCAAAAGGTTGACCCTGCGGTTCTGAAGCCCCAGATGCCGCAGCAGGGCCTCCACGATGCTGGCCTGCTCGAATATGGAGTAGTGGTGTGGTCTCTGAGGGGAGGAGAGCGCACGTGCAGGGCATGCAGTCAGGAGCGCAGGTCTGCCTGCCGCCCTCACCCCTCCGTCTCGTCCACCCCCGGCCCTTGTTGACCTGGTCCCGTCCAGATGCTGCTTACCGGTTTGTCACTAAAGCCGAAGCCTAAGAAATCGAGGGCAATCACTCGATGGAACCTCAGTGTCAGTCCTTCCCAAATCTACAAGAAAGAAAGAGATGATTTGGACTTTTTCATTCGGCCCTTCCCCTCCCACCTCAACAGCATATGGGTTTCATCCCTTCCTCAGCCTAATAAATAGGCTCTAGTGGGCGGGGGGCAGGGAGGGCTCCGCAGGAAACCATTGCTGGCCGCAGATGAGCCCCTTGCAAAGTGCTGTGTTCCTAGTAATTCGTCTCTACTGAGGGAGAGACGCCAGCATTTTCAGCTTGGCAAGGACCCTTCCCACACTGCCAGTTTCTCACTCCCTTACCATAAATGAAAACCAGTTCAAATGTACGAGAACCTTTTGCTGCTCACAACGAAATCCTTGATTTGGGATTTTTAAAGACAGTAGGACCTAGGAAGTCTGAGTTCATTACCTTGTACCAGTCGTAGCTGGATGTTGGGAAGCCATGCAGAAGCACCACTATCTCCGGACTTCCAACCACACCCACGGAGTCTGGGGAGAAGGAGAGACAGCCATTAGCCAGGCCCTACGGAAACAGCCTCGATGATACCAAAACTAGGTAAAGGACAAGAAATCCTGCCCAAGTTAGTGAAATTTAAAAGTAGGTTTCTTTTCAAAACTCAAGCTTACTGCTTTAGATAAAACAGGCATTTTTTAAAAATCTGTATATCAAAAAAAAATTATAAATAGCACACTTTCTATGAAAATACTTAAAGGGAGTTTGCTTAATTTCACTGAGGTTTTTTTTTTTTAAGCATTTCTCCCATTGTGTATTATTAATATATACATTGCTTTTCATACTAAAATTAAACTTTCAGTTTAATTATACAGTTAAATGTATATACAATCATAATATATATAAACTACAGATTCTTTGCACCTTATCATTAATGGCCTCACAAAACTTCTCTTAAATATAGCAACTCTCCCTCAACCTTGTGAGTACTGTAATTAATACTGTTTGTCCCACACTGTAATTTCCCACAGAGGAGATAAGCATCAAAATCCAGTACTGAAAGCATCATGCTCAAACTACTGCAAAAATCCTAACAACTATAAGATATTATTAATCAATACATACATGAACATTTTTTAATGGGTAAACCATCTTGTAAATTATCCAAGCAGTTAAATAGTAGAATGTCTTTTTTTTAAGACTATTTTTTTAGAGAGGGAGAGAAACATCGATCAGTTACCTCTCATACATGTCCCGACAGGGGACTGAACCCGCAACCCAGGCATGTGCCATCACTGGGAATCAAACAGGCGACTTTTCCCTTTGTGGGACAACGCCCAACTACCTGAGCAACACTGATCGGGGCTAGAGTAGAATGTGTTGCTAATTACTAGATTAAAACTGGTATGTTCAAATACTGCAAATGGTGTGAGAATTCAAAAATAAGGTTTGCAAAATAATTTAGAAGCAATTTAAAATTCTATAGATTTTTGCCTACAAGTCTTGTTCTTAGAATCCACTAAAATAAAATTGTTCTATTTACAAATAATATGGTTTGAAAATTTAAGGATAAAATAAACATATGTAAAGATTTCACTTTGACATTAACTAAAACATTGAAAAACTGGAAGCAACCTAAATGGCCAACATAAAGAAAATTATATACTTACTTAATTGAATATAGCAAATGAGAGGAGGTCAGGAGCAATAATGAAAAACGGTTTTATGACAAACATTTTTCGTTATTGCTCTTGACTCCCGCCCAAAAGAAATCTTTTCCTATTCCTTTCTCAGGTTCTTTACCTGTAAAAATGAGGTTAATGGCACCTATCTCCAAGTACTGTTAGAGAGATTACATGAAATGATAAAGACTGAAAATATAATTCAATGTCTAGCACATGGTAATTACTTGATAAGTAGCAGTCATAACAATAATTATCATTAGCAAATTAATTTATACAAAGGCAGAAAAGACTTCAATCACGGTTATGCATATAACAATCTTTATAAAAAACAAAAAAAATGAAATCAGGAATTTGTGGGGGGAACAGGACCGATGGCAGCTTTAAACAGTGTCTGCCCTGCTCAGCGCTAGGCTGCTCCGCACAAAACACCAATACAAATTGGGCTACAAAAATATGGATGCTGAACATGTCAGTTCTACAGGCTGGACTCTCAATTCCACCAGCCCCTCCCTCTCGATGTTTTTTTTTTTTTTTAAATCCTCACCTGAGGACATGCTTAGTGATTTGAGAAAGAAGGGAAGGGAGAGAGACAGAAGCATCAATTGTCTGCCCCATACGTGCCCTGACAATGACCCCATGATCTTTTGGTTACGGGGCAATGCTCCAACTACCTGAGTCGTCCGGCAAGGGCAAGTTTTCTTTGGGTTTTCCATCTGTTAAGAGGGGTTTAGTATTTTCAAGCCCCCTTCCCAGAAAAGGGGGGTGTTCCCTCCATCACTGAGGGCCAACAGAGACCAATGGACACAGAATGCGCACTGCAGTGGGCCCCTGGGGGCCCACACATGCGGGCTGCTCCAACTGTCCTGTCCTTACCTTGGTAGAAGATGCGCAGTCCCTTATAGGTGAAGAATTTGCCTGATGACTTCCAGGAGTGGAGAGCAGGGGAGAGCTGGGGCGGCGGGATATGGAGATAGGCGGCAAGCAGGGGCACCGCCAACAGCCCCACCTGCACCCACCACTCCCTCATCCTGTGGGGAAATCAGAGACCAGGTAAGCAGTCAGGTGACACTGGACATGTCGAGAAGCCCTGAGCTGGTGAAATAGGGCGGGAAATTGCTGTGCCATGCGGTGACCTCCTAGGATACAAACCAGGGCCGAAAATGTTCCAAGGAGAACATAAGAGCACCTCCACCTGTTACGGCAACAGCAATCGCCATATTTGCTCACCATTCTAATTTTCAGGGGGAAAAAAAAAACATTTTAATGTATACTCTTCCTCCCTTTCTCCCCACTTTAACCCTCAGCCCCTCCCCCCGCGCTGTTCCTAAGACCTGGAGAGGTTTCCTTGTGAAGTGGAAGGAAGGGGACTGGGGAGGGGCTGCGGTGCCCCCTCCACTGGCTTTGACCAGGGCTTCCTGGGGGGAAAAAAATAACTGCCCTCCCACGTAGTCTGAAAGCTCTGCCACCACCAGGCAAGTGTTATGTGTCTTTTAACTAATGTTTTAAAACGTACATGTATCTCTGTGAGGGCATAGTAACATCACGTGACCTTCAGCAGAGATCCGCTCTCGATTTTTTCACATCTATCCCTCCGCCCCCACTGGCCCCCCTGAAGCCCCCTTCAGTACTACTACCTGGACTGTGTTGAGAAACCGCTCTGGGTGCACAGTGCGTGAAAGTAGGAAGCTGGGTGCGCTCTGTTGCCAACATAAGTTGCCTTGTTGTGACCCTGAATGTCTATTCTCTGGAGAGGTCAGGGCAGCAGGTTTTAGTTCTGCTTTTCTTAGCAGCCTCTTTAGGAAACTGCCATTTATTTAATTTCTTAGGACTCCCTTCTCACCCCCCCCCAAAAAAAGTAAGGCGGGGGTCATGTACAACACCTGGGAATTGATTTTGCCATTGCAAGGACAGTATGGTTTGCACAGCCAACCCTCCAGTGACCAGGACTTCAAAGGTCCAGGCTAATCTGTCCTTAATAACAATGAGTGCTACATGGTGATTAGAAATAGTTCCCCCAGCTTCTATCTTATCACTCCTGATAGCCACCAGGGAAAGAATCAGCATTAGAATGGAAGTTCTCTCAAATAGCCAGTAGTTGAAATACCATCTGAAACTAAAATTAAAAGAAAAAATCTATAAGAAATGAACGGTCGAAGCCCTGGTGGAAACCGCTCTGTGTCTGAACACACCCCTTCCACCATATTCCCTCTAGTTGGCCACAGTCCCTGCCCATCACCAAGTGATTATTTTAGTGCTAAAACAACCACATCCCTTAAAGAATATAAGCTCTTTTGCCTCTTTTTTAGGTACCACTACAGCGGTCTTTCTTCCCCACTGACATACCTGTGGGTGATTTGATTCTACCTTTCAAAGTAATACTAGAAAGTGATTCCAAAAATGTCTGGGATGTGCTGATTATATCTCAATTTTCACCCCACAATAGTACCAGGCGACATCCGCACTGTCTCTTTGAAAGCTGAGGTGACAATAGCATTAGGTTTAGATCGTCGATTTCTCAGAGCTATCTGTCCAGTGTACTACAGCTCATGCATTCTCGGGTCGCATATCATCACGCCTTATCCCCCGCTTCTCCTTTCTTCATTCAGGTTCCAGCAGCCTCCTATCTGCAATGACTCAGCAGAGAGCCAGGGAGGGGTTACTAAAGGAGCGAGCAGGACCACCCCCGCCCAGTGTGTGTTGGGGGCGGGGGGACGTCCATACTCTTTCTGGACACCCTACCTTTCACACCTTCCCCTTTACGGTAAGAAAGCCAGAGGCCACCCCCTAGGGAGCCGTTTTCTGTCTTTATCATCTCAGGGAAAATACCCCTAAGGGCGTTTTAGGATTTTTTAATAGGGACGTTGGTAAGCAAAATGGATTCAGCATTTTTGACCAAAATCTCCATGATTTGAGGAGCAATGAGTCAAGAGAATATGGCAAACCCCAGTACGAACCTTCTGGAAATTAACCTTTCCCAGCCCTGATTTCTTCAGCTTGTAAATGGGAAAAATCTGTTTAGTATCACCAAACCTGCCCACCTTCCAGCATTTCTTGAGCCCAGGAACTACTTTGTAAACCAATACCAACGATTCATATGTAACGTGACGACTGGTCACATCATCATTCTCACTTTGTGTTACTGAAATCTCAAAAATACTTACGCTCGGTGAAAATAAGCGAAATGCAAGTTCTAGTCACACCTATGCAGTAACTCACGCCACGGCAACACCAGGGACTTCAAATCCTAAACTGCGCCACAGCAATACCGGAATCTTGAAATCCTAAATCGCGCCAAGGTAAAACCCAGGTCTAGAAATCCTAAATTGCGCCACAGCAATACCTAGGTCATGAAATCCTAGTCACAACACCGCAATACCGGAGTCTTGAAATTCTAAATCACGCTAAGGCAACAGGGGGGGCTGAAAATCCTCAATTGTGCCAGGTGATAACCGGTGTTAAAATCTTAAATCGCACGGAGATGAAAACCGAGTCTACAATTCTGAGATCGCACCACGGCGACACCACGGTCTAAAAATCCTAAACCGCGCTGCGCGCCGCCGGGGTCTAAAAACCCTAAATTGCGCCAGGGTGACGCCCGGGTCTAAAAATTCTAAACCGCGCCACGGCGACGCCAGGGTCTAAAAATCCTAAATCGCACCAGGGCGACGCTGCGGTCTAAAAATCCTAAATCGCACCAGGGCGACGCTGCGGTCTAAAAATCCTAAATGGCGCCAGGGCGACGCTGGGGTCTAAAAATCCTAAATCGCATCTGAGTGAAGCCAGGGTTCAGAAACCCTAAATCACGCTAGTGCAATGTGGGTGTCTAGAAATCGCAAATTACATCAGAACGATGCTGGGGTCTAAAAATCCTAGAGCGCATCAGAGGCGAAACCAGGGTCTAGAAATCCTTAGTTGCGCTAGGATATTGCTGGGGTCTAAAAAATGTTAAATAGCGCCAGGGTGACGCGCCAGGGTTCCAGAAATCCTAAATCGGAGATTCCGACTTCTACTGCGGGCAGAAATGACATTCCCTCCCAAGGAGATAAAGCCCGAGGGCCCGCCGCCCAGGCCCCCATGGGGTTTTTCCCTCCACTGCGGGAATTGCGGTCCGGCACCCCAAGCTCGGACACGCGAGTATCCACCCACCGGCCAGCACCCCGGTGCCGGACGGCGGCCGAGAACCGGCCACACCCCCTAGCAGCGGCAGCGCGCACCCACCTGCGGAGGCGATCTCGGCGCACCATGGCTGCGTCTTATCCCATGCCGTACCGTGCACCGACTCGGAGCACAGGGGCGCCGAGGCGCCCGCAGCCACGCAGGGCAGCCACAGCCCGCGAGGGTGGCGCCGGCCGCGGCAAGCAGCGATCCGCCACTCAGGCGTGTGCTGCGGCACTGCGCGAGGCGCGACTGCCGCAGAGGAGGCGCCGAGCTGTGCTGGTTGCCGCGGCAGCGCAGAGCCAGTGGGCACGGTCTTTTAGAGACCACCCGCGCCCCGCCCCTGGCCCGCCCACAGCGCCGCAGTGTCCCTCCCACCGCGGCGTCCCTCCCTCCCTCCCTCCCTCCCTCTCTCTCTCCCTACAGCCCCCGTTGCTGCTGCTGCGGAGACAGTGTATTGCTCTCTCAGAAGCTCCTCTAGGGGGCACCTTCAGGGCGTTGACCCCCGCTAGCGCCCTGCTGCTCCCTCGCGGCCCCCAACCCTGGGCTCCAGGTTCTATAGCAGAAGCTCTTCTGGCAAGTTAATGCCACCGGAAAAGACAACAGATCCCTGAAATCCTAACCGTCCCCTTAGACCACCCAATGCCCTCTCCCACCACCCCGCAGCCCCCAAAAGGGCGATTAGACCTCAGGTGTGGCACCTGCTCGCTTCCGGCTCCAATCCCAAGGTGTGGGTTCTGAACTACGCGAGTGCCCAATTCGAAGCAGTGATCCATGAATGCCCCACCTCTCCTAGATCCCTAACTGTGGGTAAGGGCACAAACAAGTGGGTAGGGAACGACAAGCTTTGCTGAAGGTACCACCAAAATAGTCGCCTGATTACTGGGACGGCTGCTTCGGATCTAAAAGGTCATAACTAGCAGAACGCTTAAGTCTCTTGCTCTGCCACTGGGCACGTTTCCTTTGCAGCAGCGCGACATGGGCCTTGTACCAGAGCCCAGCCACAGCCCTCCCGTGGCACCCGCTCCCAGAAAAAGACCCGTTCCGCTCCAGAATTAATGATCATCACAGTTATGAGACCAAAGTTCCCCTTTATGTAAGATTAAATTCACAATGCAAGGGCCCCAGTGGTACAGAAAAGGGGGAAGGATTTTTTTTTCTTCATCCATAATCGTTTAAAAGGCATCTATTACGCCTTTGAAAATAAAAGCGTAGAGAATCACAGTGTCTGTGTTCATTTGCTGGCTGTAAATTGAAATTCTGAGGAACGCATGCAGGCTGCGAGCAAGCCAGGCAGCCTGAGCGCTGCTGGCTGTCTCCAGCAGGGGCGCTGCAGGTCTCTCTTCTCTCGCGCCTACCTGCCACTCAGGCCAGAGCGCAGACCAGCGCTACTGTCAAAGGCCGGCCCAGCAGAGCTCACCCCTCCTCACAGTGCACCAGGGAGCGAGGGCCACCATCCACACCTGGGAGAAACCACCATCTATGAGCATGTCATCAAAACGTGTGGCTCAATCCAAGGTACACTTCTACTGGTGTCCCATTAAGGGGGTCATGAAACGAATGCTTACTTAGCACCTACAATCTGCTAAGAGGCAGGGACACAAATGTGGACGAGAATTGGCCCCTGCCCCAGAGCAAGAGGCTGACCATTCGGTGGGGAAGACACACGAGAACCGATGTTAAATTTTCCCTTTAATTTCCTGGCCACATCTTGTGACAGATTGGCCCCCTCCCCCAAATATGTAAGGCCCTCAAAGGCTGAACCCAAGTATTATTCAACTTTTGTGTCCCCAGAGCCCGCCACAGTGCCGGCCACAAAGCAGGCCCCTAATAAATACTGCATGAGTAAGTACAAGAATTTGAGGGTGCACAGAGGAGGAAGTAATTAAGGGGAGGGGGGAAGGGAAAGGGTTGTCTTGAATGATGAATAGACATTTACCAGAGAGACAAAGAGCATTCCAACCAGAGGGGACCGCCTTCGCAAAGCACGGGAGGCACAGGACCGCACAACCTTTGGGGAAAACTGCCATTCCTTTGGGCTGGGGCGCTGACCGAAAAAAATTTAGGCTAGAAAGAGTGTTTCATCTGAAGGAGTTTGGAATTTGCCCTAAAGAAAATGAAAAGCCACAGATGGGTTTAAACCCTTTATGCCCTTAATTGGTTACTTAACAAAATTTAAATTAGTCCCTGTACAAATGGAGGATTACCTATTTTAACTAAGCACCACCTTTAAAGGATTGAATTACTTTGCAAAAATTTAAATCGGTCCTTTCAAAAGAGTAAAGGCTTCCCAATTTTAACTAAGACAACAATAGTAACAACATTTGCATTACACTTTTTCATATTTATTGTCAATGGGAAGTATGAATCCTACAAACAATTCTTCATTTTCACTGGCCCCACGCCAGAAGCACCCGCATCCAAGATGAAGGCAATTTTGTATTTAATGGACTGAGTGCTCACAAAAGATCTGATTCTGAAAGAGAGGGAATATGTCCATCCACACAGAACAGGAGGGCAGACCTGGGCAGAGGGGGGCCAAAAAAACCTCTTGGAGACAATGGGAATTCTAAGTCTAACGCTCAAGAAAAACCCGCCTGGACAAAATGGCTAGGAAGATCTTCCCTGGAAAAGGAGAGATGGAGGTTGGCAAGGACTCGGACCCCAAACAGTCCTGTCCAGAAGAACCACTGGTGCAGACACTAGGAGTCCAAAACAGGCAGAGGACACCAGGTAGAGATCAGCTTGGCTAAAGGCAGGAATTTGCTTTGAAAAAGTCGAGAGAGAAAATGCTAGCGATAGGCCTCAGGAGCCGGAGGAGTCATGAATTTTGTAAGAGCGCCTGCCTAACTTCCAAAGACAAGCTTCCTCAAATGGCGAAACCCTCCGAACGTCTGAGCAAACAGGCACCCGCATGCAAATCCAAAGCCAGTCCCCCGACTCCTTCCTTCTCAGCGCGCCCTTTCAAAACGTTGGCTACTGACGTCACACTTGACCGACCTCAGAAGCACCAGCATTCCCTCAACCGGTAGCTTATCGTAGGTTCCTGTTATGTTCCAGTTCCAAGACAGTCCCACAAAATAAGACAAAAAATCAGCAAAGAGAGCTTGGCATTCACTAGCTCACCGATGTACCGCAGCAGTAGGAAATCAGCGGGGCTGGGACCATGGGTTCAAGAATCATATTTTTCTAAGCCCTGTTTGAGACCCATATGTTGATAAGCACAAGGAAACTGACAGAGACAACAGGACAGCACTGGGACTGCCACTTTCAGGAGCCATAATTACCAATTCAAATAAACTAAAGAAATTCAAGATGGGAATTTCAACTTGGTTGAACAGCAGCGCGTGTTAAAGAGACTTAGGGTTTCAGTTGATGTGGGTATATGTGATATGTTTCCAAAAAAGCCATTGTAGGTTGTGGACTGTAATTAGAGAGGTACCCAGCATAAACTAATCCTACTCTATTCTGCTGGTTAGACCTCATAATAAGTATTTTATTCTGCTCTACAGAGCAGACATTAAAGAGACACATAAACAAACAGGAATTCGTTCAGAGAAGATCAATTAAAATGCGTTGCAAATTATGTCAATGAATGTGTAAAAGTCCTCATATTTTAAGCTGCTACTACAGCTTAATTTATCCCTGAGTTATCCAATTTATCCCTGATTCTCACAATAACTTGGTTAGATGAGTATTACTTCCACCTTTTTCAGAGAGGATACAGCAGCTCACAGCACTAACTGGTAGTCTGCAGAGGGACGGGGAACTGAGCACAGCGCGCCTGGCTTTGAAGCTCACGTTCTTTCCACTGCCCCACACTGCCTCCCTGTTTAAAATAACCGTGCATGTTTAGTTGGAAGAAAAGAAGCCTTGTGGAGTAAGTGGAAGAAGGAAATGTGTTCGCAGTCCTCAAATATTTGTGGAAGCAGCGTTAGACATTTCATTCTGTATGGCTCCAATGAGTGCCGATTGCAGACAAACAGATGTCGGTTCAACATAAAGAATTTTCCAAGTCAGGGCTGTCTAGAGAGACTGGGTGGCTCAGCCATTTGGGGACATGACAAGTTCCCTGTCACTTTGGGGCTGGGTAACCCTATGACAGGCAAGCTCCAGATGAGTGCGTGAATGACCCTGAAGGTCCCTTCTCATCTGATAGAAACTAGGGCTCCGGGAAATAACTGGAACTTGGCCGGGGTGAGCCCCTCTACTGAAAGGTCAAATCCACACTCAGGTCTTCCCTGGTTGTCCCGCAGCTCAGAGCTCTCTGGACAGCATGCTGTTCCATGCTGAGGGCAAGACAAATTGAAGAAACTATTACTACCATCACATCAACCTCCCTCTCAACCAAATTTAACCAGTATATCCCCAAACTGGTGTCTTACCTCCTCTTCAGGTTCATTTTTTGGTTTAAAGTCTTGGCTGCAAAGAGCGCGAAGATGAGCGGAAGAGGAGCGCAGCCACGGAGCGGGACAGCCCAGCAACCAGCTCGGAGGAACCTCGATGACAGTCATTTCTCTAGATCACGGTGTTATTGGGCACGCTCTACCTTACGGGCACAGCCCATAACCCCCCACCTGGTGGTGTTTCACTGCTCCACGTCTAGAGTGCATTTTATATGCTCACGCAAAGAAGCAAGTTGAAAGGTTCCGAAAAAAACAACAACAACCATGTCTTGTATCGTTGTAGCTCTTTGTTCTTTCATGCCTGTAATCTCTGGGGCTCACCGTGGCGCTCTAGGAAATAGCGCCTCCCCGCGCTTCCTGGGGCGCACGACTCTGGTTTGCTGTTTTTAAACTGGTTTCCCGGTTATTCCTCCACCCCAGAGGAATCAGCCCAGCAGCAGGTGTTTTGCTTTTGCTGGATTGCCATCACCGTCACCTCACACCTTCCTCAGCTGTCTGTCCTCTGCCCGTGCCCCCAGGACCCCCCATCCACACCACTAGTGCAGCGCTCTGTCCGGGATCTCATTACTACCCAGCTCGCGGGCGGGGAGTGGGGGGCAGCACCCACGCTTTTTGCCCCAACGCCCAACAGAAACCACCCACTCAGTGTTATGCGGCCGCTTTTCCACACTGGCCCAGACCCTTGTGCCTGAGACCTTCCCAACCACCCCACGGCTAAACCCACGTGGGAAGGCACAGCCGCCCCAGCAGTCGAGTCCCCATTCCCTGGAGAGGTGATTAAGCCGGCCAATGGAATGGCTAAAAGTTGTGGGGAAGTCAAGTCTTGGGGGAGGGTTTGGGGACTTTTGGGTTCTCATCTGACCCCAAGGTTTGGGAAACAGTGACCCAGGACCTC